TCAAGAAATAGTTAAAGCCGGTGGACGAATTATTAGAATATTAGATGGTATAGTATACGAAGAAAATTTTAAAACTCCACCATATAGAGATTATATTTTAATTTTGGGAGATCTAAGAAATAAATATAAACGAGAACGTAATATCGTAGGTAGTAATTGTATGAAATAAGTGTAACGAATAATTGTTCTTTATTTGTCATTTTTTTTGAGTAGGATATGACCTTTCCGATTGGACGCATTTAGGCTTAAAAACCCTCAATTTTCACGTTTTTTTTATGTCAAAATGACTTTAAAAAAACCGCCCAATTCCACGTCTTTAGGCCTAAATGCATCCAATATGAAAGATCCCACACCTAATTTCCATCATAAATATACCCTCTCATATTCGAAAGCATTCTTACATCCAATATGAAAGCTATATACTATATGAAATCCATCCCCACAGCAAGATTTGTTTCATCTGTTAAATTAGTTTAATTTTAAACCACGAACCTCACAAATTCGAAGATGATTCAGGCGACGGTATCTTTTCATAAATATTTTCTCTGGGTTCAAAAATAATTCCAACAGGAGGCAGTTTTATTTCAAACAACAAATCACTTATTTCCTCCGAGGTGCAAGCTCTGGGTTCTGTCGCAAAAGCGGGAGTTAGTATAAGCTACGCTGTGAAAAAGTCTGACGAATTGAAAGAATTACAGCTAATAAGAGAATTAAGAAACGGGCTTTAGAGAAACAAGAAAATGGTTTTAAAGTTATAGGATAAAAAAGTCTGTGATAATTGCACAAAGTCCCAAAACTTATTTTGGTTCAGATATACAAAAATTCATTAGGTTCTCTTCCCGTTTTTCCATGGGCAAAGTATTGTGGCGAAAAACATCTTCAGGGTCATAATTACACTGGTCCAGGTACTAGGCTAGATTTACGATTAGACGAAAACAATAAACCCAAACCAGGTAAAGAACCTGTCAATAGAGTTGATGCTGCTGCACTTAAACATGATATATTATACAGAAATAAAGACATAAAGTTTAGATGCTGAAGCAGACAAACAAATGATAATCGAACTTGAAAATATTCCAAATACAACGCTCAAAAAGAAAAAGGAAAGAGCTCTGATTATAAAGCTGTTAAAAGCAAAGATGAAATTGAGTATGGGATTGGCAGATGAACTTCATAAAGAATTTAGATAAACTAAAAACTTTTTAAAAGTTAGAGTATGGTCAGCTGATTTTTATTAATATGTCAGTCGAAAGAGGATTTAAATATCACAAATTCCCAAAAATGGGAAAACAATTAAAACTATATTATTGTCCTGTAATTTGACGTTTCGGCTAATTGCCTTCTTCAGAAACACCCAAAAAAGATCTCGATCACATCTTTTTCCGTTATTTTACTAACTATTTAAAGTTTAGAATACTCAAACTGTTTGATGGTTGTCTCGTCAAAAAGTTTATTTACGACGTCATTTTATACGCCCACATCTCTCAATGTGGACATATATTGTCGGCACCCCTGCCCATCCGTCCGTCAACATTTGCTTGTGAACGCTCTAAGAACTAGAGTTTTTGATGGAATCAAATGAAATTCGTTATGTGTAAACATATCTATAAAACGAAGATCAAGTTCGAATTTGAGCAATTTTCGACCGTTGGAGTTATTGCCTTTGCCCCAAAATCTTGAATATGCTATTACTCTCTTAGTTTTTAACCGATTTTGAGAAAACTTAAAATGGATGTTATTGGACATAAATCGAAAGGTTTAAGAAAGTTTAGTTTAGAAGTAAGTGCTTCTATCAACATCAATTGCTCGTAACCACTCTAAAACTAGATTCATATACATATTCATAAAACGAAGATCAAGTTCGAATTTGAGCTTATTTCGACCGTTAGAAGCATAGTTAATGCCCTTGCTCCAACATCTTGTTTTCAACCGATTTTGATGAAACTTTAAATGGATGTTTCGTTTTTACCATCCGCATGCCGTGGTGGGCGTATATGGCTATCTTATCTTTCGTCATGCCGTTAATAGTCCCTCTGCAGAAAACCAACTGAGCACTTCTTATTCAACCCATTTGGATCCTCCGTTCGCAATCTCTTCATCCAATCACGTTCCTTGATGATTCTCACGTTTCGCGCTTCATCGCATATCCTTTCCAGCATAGCGTCCTTGGTCTTATGTCCTTCATCGTTGAAATGCTCTGCCACTGCCGTCCTCCTTTCTAATCTTATGTCTGCCATGTGTTCTTTTATTCGTTCTCCAAGGGTTCATCTCGTTTCTCCTCCATATACGGGTTTTCTGCATATATCGCAGCTTAGCGTATACACCACATTTCTCGTCTTGCACCCATGAGTCTTGTGGTTAAGTTTGAAAGTTGTCTTTCCATCTATAGATGTTATCTTGCCTTCTGTAGGTATCTTATTACACACTTCACATTTCTCTGAATCACATAAGCTCTTATCATTCCGGGCTAAAATTTTGTTTAATTTACCACGCACTAATATCTCATCCTTTCTCTTCTATATGCAATTATCGGTGGCTCTCTAAAAATTCTTGGCATTCTTTCCGATTGGTGAGTACCTTCATATTCTTCCTTACTGTGTTGTGCAGGTTTGGTAGGTCTTTCGTATACGTTGTTACTAAACGTGTCCTTGAATTATCCTTCTCGTTATTCTTTCTAATTCTGAGGAGCTCTTCCCTATCCATACCATCCACTCCCGACAACTGTCTTTCGATGAACTTGGGAGCTGTTCCCTCTGTTTCTCAGTTGCTGTTTCAGGTCTTTTATATGCTTTTGGTATTCTTCTTCGTTTTCGCAAATTCTTCTCGGTCTTATTGCTAATCCATAGGGTATGGCTTTCTTCACATTCTGTGGGTGACCTGATTTGGCCTGTACATACATATGCTTATCTGTTGGTTTCACGTACAATCCAGTTGTTAACCTATCTTCCTTTCTCATAACCATCACATCCAAAAATTCAATACTCTCATAACTCCATCGTAACTCTACTTTTATCTTTTCATGTATGGTGTTGACTTCTGCTTGGAATTCTTCTAATTCTGCTACTGTTCCTGTCCAGATTCCAAACCCATCTTCTATGAATCTTTTATAGAAGTGTATATATGCTTCCTTCTATCCTTGGCCTTCAGTTGTTCATCCCACTTTCTCATATTATGTGCATGCATAATTCTTGCCTAATTGGGATCCTATTGCCACTCCATCCCCTGGAAGGTAATGTCTACCGTTGAAAGAAAAGTTGTTGTTTTCTAGGACCGTTCTTATCATCTCCATCACATAACTAGTCGGTATATCAGGGTTATTGCGAATATTTAAACCTTCCTCACAAGCTGCTAGCCCTTCTATCTTAGGTACGGATGGATACAGACATCAAAGCAAAAGAGAATCGCATCCTTGGGTATTGGTTGTCGTATGGTCTTCAGTCTGTCGTGTCTCTGACATAACTGTCTGTCCCAATCACAAACTCTTCTAATTCTTTCTCTGCTATTTCCGCGAATCTTTCCGTTGCCGTTCCCTGTCCGTTGACGATGTGTTGAAAGGGGTTGTTCTTCTTGTGGATCTTGGGGTTGCCTTTAAGTAGACCGCTAGTAGGGTATTTTGGTATAAGGTACTGTTTTAGATCCCTGTCTATGTGATCGTTTTTATGTAATCTGTTCGCTATGTTATTTACTTTCGTCAGAATTTTATCGGAAAGATTTACGATCAGGTTGTTTTCTTCCTTCTGCGTTACCTCCCCTTTCCCCAGCCCCGCCGATCCGTTGACATTATTACTATTCACTGCCTGTCTGTATATCGGTTCACCCTGGTACTTAGAGCTCTTCTTAGTTGTCATATCAAACCAGTCTGTAACGTTCCCTTTTATCCAATCAGTATCGGGTTCAGGTAATTCGCACGTACAGTGTTTCTTGTCAGGGATAAAGAGGTTATTCCAGTGCGATATAGCTATCCAGCCTGCGTTTGGTTTACATCCTTCCTTGTAGTTAATATCGAAACAAGTGTACGTCTGTCCCTTTTCTCCTGAACTCAGAATCAATAGTTTACATCTGAACCCACTGGAAGCCACAAGAATCTCCGCCTCAGTTGCCCATGCCGTGGACTCCCCACTTGTACTAAGTTGGTCTTGTATATGCTGGTTGAAATCCTCATCGATTAACGCTTGGTAAACCTCATGATTGGCATCCATTCTACGAACAATCTTCTCTCTAATTCTTCTGTGATTCTCTTCATGTCCATACAGAAACACACTAATACATCTAAAGAAGCAATTCCCGTCTCCTTTTATATCAATCTGTTTAAATTCTTCAATGCCACAGTCTCTCTTGTTATCCATTAATTTACTTTCAAATCTGAAGAAGCTGCAAAATCGCTTATGTTGCGTTTGGGCTAAATTAATGTCAGTAACCATGAACAGCAATAAAATAAAAAGCGTGGCAGCCATAGACCGAACTATTTTAATACTGAACAAATTCATACTCCCAGGTGGACTTTGTACACATTTTGATTACATACATAAGAAACGTAAATACATGACAGCTTACACCTGAAAGAAACATCTTGTGTTATATCTCTACTTGCCTTGTCATATGGTAATAAACCACTTCCTTTTGCCTCCCTTAAATTGGATCGAATATCTGAAAGTAACCTGCCTTTATGATTCATCTTGTTTGCACATTCATCCAGAATGACATTATGCCCTACTGATAATTCAAATTTAGACTTATCTGATTCTATCTCTTCTATCTTTCTCTGACAGCTCTTCATGACTACATCAATTAACTTCAATGGCGCGTCTCTTCTAATTCTCTCACATCTTTTAATAAGATCTTCTTGACTATCCAACTGCAAATTCCATTTGAGTTTAAATCCTTTTGGTATCAATTGTTATCTGAACCAAAATTAGTTTTGGGACTTTTGCAATTATCACAGACATTTTTATCCTTTAACTTTAAAACCTGTTCCTTGTTTCTCTAAAGCCCGTTTCTTAATTCTCTTATTAGCTGTAATTCTTTCAATTCGTCAGACTTTTTCACAGCGTCGCTTATACTGACTCCCGCTTTTGCGACAGAACCCAGAGCTTGCACCTTGGAGGATATAAGTGATTTGTTGTTTGAAATAAAACTGCCTACTGTTGGAATTATTTTTGAACCTAGAGAAAATATGAAAAGATGCTGTCGCCTGAATACTCTTCGAATTTGTGTGGTTCGTGTTTTAAAATTAAACTCATCTTATTTTTGATTGAATTAATTTAACAGATTAAACAAATCTTGCTGTGGGGGTGGATTTCATATAGCATATAGCTTTCATATTGGATGTATGAATACTCTCGAATATGAGAGGGTATATTTATGATGGAAATGAGATGTGGGATCTTTTATATTGGATGCACTTAGGCCTAAAAACGTGAAATTGAGCGATTTTTAGGCCTAAATGCGTCAAATCGGAAAGGTCATATACTACTCAATAAAAATGACAAATAAAGAACAATTATTCGTTATAACCTCAAATAAATCAAACATTAAATTATATCTAGATTATGAGTATGAACTTGATCGGAATAAAGAATAAGAACTGGGATTATAGTATTTCTCTGTTCTACAGCCGATTTTATAAATACTTATTTCTTGAAATGCGTCAAAATCTTTTCAGAGATATTATGCGATTTACATGATTTTGATGTCAAATGAAAGAACATGGAACTGTAAAAGCCCGATTTTTGATTTTCGCTTTTGCTTTTTTTCAATTTCCGGTTGAAATTTTTAACAGTTTGAAAGCTCATATTTCGTGACCTTAACCATTATTTGGTCACAGGCATTTTACCTTGACTATCAGTTGATTCTTTAATGTTTAACCTTTGAAGTCTACTTTGGGTTTTATAGCTGTCCAAAAACAGTCAATTTCCCAATTTATACTGTTGTAGCTCGTGACCTTTATAGTTTTAATTATACTTATTTAATGCTAAATAGAAATTCGTGAATTTTGTACAATATTTTCTCTTTTTTGAGCTGGGTGTATGTATATCTTATGACCTATTTGATGTAGAAGCCTGAAATTCGGAATACGAGACATTTCAAATATGAATTAACCCATGACAAAAATGTTGAGGTGGGCGTGGCACATCCGAGTTTACTTATTATTTACATTTTCATCAGGGGTATAACTCGTACTCGTTCAAAATAGGACCTTGCACACATTACCTCACCCTCTTGACCAATTTGTGTAAAAAGGTCGGCTGTTTCAGCTTTGTAATTCAAAACAGAAACAGGGTTTGAAATTTGCATATTTTCAATTTTTGACCTTGACCTTTGATGACTGATATCTCGTGACCTTTACCTTAAATAACCTTCCCTTAATAAAGTCAAAGGTTATTCACCTTGGAAATCTGTTGATACTTTCATATTTGATGTCTGGCGCCTACTTCCGGTTTCACAAGCTTCCAAAAAGAGCATTGTTCACAACTTTTGACTGTTTTAGCACGTGACCTAATTGGCCTAGAAGGTTGATTTTTTTCAGATTCCGTAGCAAATTGGCACATCAGCAAAGTCCCACTCAGCACCAGTGGTTCTAGTATAGTTTCAGTTTTACAATAATTATCTCACGTGAAATCAAATCAAACGCAAAATCAAAGAAAATAGAACCAACCATAAGACTAGAACCACTCGTAGTACTGAGTGGGACTTTGCTCATGTGCCAATTTGCTAGAGAATCTGAAAAAATCAAAGTCCCACAATAACACTATTTTGTAGACAATGGTTTTGTATTTCCATCCTATAAGTGAACTATGGAGTGGTTTAGGGAATAGATAATTAAAGAAAAGTACTTTTTTTTGAAAAAATGGCTTAAACTATTTCAATGTTTAAATGACTTCCAAATTTAGGAGTTTTGAGGTAAATTAAAAAATAAGTAAAACAATTATACAATATCAGCATTATAAGCCCATGATCTTTTACACCTATAGCAACGTAATAGGTTGCCATAATTCGGTCACAGATTCATTGAAGCTTCTCGTAAGATTTTTGAAAGAAATTTCGTCAAAATAGGTACTCTCATTTGTGAAGTGAGCCGGTAGTAATAACCTATCATTACTAGCGCTACAACCGGGATTTAGTCGAATGATTTTCAATGGAGGCATGATCAAAATTGACGTATGTTCAAAACGGGAATATTGACATATGATCGAGAAACGTGTTTGTTGTCGTACTACGACTATCCAAAAACCATTAACTATGTATTCACTGATTGGTAAGATACCGTTCGGCTTGACCGAAACTTTACAAACTTTACAAATAGTCGAATCTCTTGATCGGTCAAGAGAGAAAATTTTGTCCTATCATTGTTAATTGCTAAGGTCGTAGTTTCCAATTCATATTTAGCTACTAACTTGAAAGTGGATTTTGATAATAAATTGCCTGTCGTCTTGGGAACAGGGAGGGAGTGAATTGTGTAGATTGTAAAGCTGTCTTTATTATCAAGAAGAATGCTTAAAACGATTATTATTCTATTATTCTCAATCATTGAAATACAGTTAAGAATTTTATAATAATGCCACAAATCCTTCTTGGGTTTTTTTTTAGGTAACTTTAAACTAGGTGGTAAATGTTCTTGGATTTCTTATAACATTTGTGGTAATTTCCTTGGTACAATTACCGATGGACTTAAATGACAACATATTTAGTTGGAGATTTATAGAATCGGAGAACAATTCAGCCTCTAATATTGCGGAATTGTCTAACAACTCCTTGTAGTTTAAGGTCTAATTTTCGTAAAATACTTGATAAGGTATTAATTTGTTGTCTATTCGCTGCAACGTGTAAACGTGATATATTAATTACAGACAGACTTTCGCTCACAACATGTTTGAT